CCCAGCCTGGGCTAACCCTCCCGGGGAGACCCAGCCTGGGCTAACCCTCCCGGGGAGACCCAGCCTGGGCTAACCCTCCCGGGGAGACCCAGCCTGGGCTAACCCTCCCGGGGACTCAAAGCTGTTCCTGTCCATCGCTCCACCCCTCACTCCTGGTCCCCTCGGTTCCCGAAGCCCTCACCTCACCCACATCCTAGCCTAACCCCTCCCAAGGCAGCGGCGCGGTTCTGCCCTCGCCAAATCTCTCATTCACCGGAGACAAAGCTGGAGTCATTCCCGGGGAGAGTTTCGGTCTGGGGAAGGGAGGCCACCGACAACCCGGGGCTCGGCGACAGGACGCACACCCTCCTCTCCGTTCGCGCCCTCGGCTCCTCGTGCCCGGGGCGCGGGGCGCGGAGGAGACGGGAGGATCTGGCGGTTCCGGGGACGACCCGGGCGGGTCCACCCCACCGCCTCGCCGTCTCGCTGGCACCAGGAGATCGAGCATCGCTTTGGGATGCCCCGGACCTACAAGACCCCGGGCGAGGGGCGCGGCGCTATCGCGAGACTTCCGGAGACGGGCCGCGCCGGCGGCGGCGGCGCCGGGCGGACGCAGTTACCATGGCGACCGGGAGGCGCCCGGCCGGGCGCGCGGGAAGGAGGCCGGAGGAGCGGCCCGCTGGGTCCCCGAGGCCATGGGCCGGATCACCGGGCTCGTGCCCTCGCGGTTCCTGACGCTCTTGGCTCATCTGGTGGTTGTCATGACGCTCTTCTGGTCCCGGGTGAGACGCGGGCGCGCGGGCGGGCAGGGCAGGGCAGGGCAGGGCGCGTCCTCCGCTTCTCCGCCTGCAGAGGACCGCGCTCAGCTCGGGCCCCCGCCTCCCCGGGGTCCCGTCCCCCCGGGCCCTCCCCGACCTGTCCCCGGGCCCTCCCCGACCTGTCCCCGGGCCCTCCCCGACCTGTCCCCGCGGCCCAGTCCCTCCTTTTGACTTTTTTTTCCTTTCTTTTTTCCTGCCCGGCTCTCCAGGAAAGCAACATCCAGGCTTGCCTGCCTCTCCAGTTCACCCCCGAGGAATACGAGAAGCAGGACGTCCAGTGAGCTCCCGGGGGCGGGGTGGGCGTGCCGGGGTCTGCGGAGTCCTTCGGGAGACGAGGCCTGATCCGGCCTGATCCTGCCCTCTCCGCAGGCTGGTGACCGCGCTCTGCCTCACCCTCGGCCTCTTCGCGGTGGAGCTGGCCGGCTTCCTCTCCGGAGTTTCCATGTTCAACAGCACCCAGAGCCTCCTCTGTATCCTTTCGGCCTGCCCAGCGTCCCCCGCACAGGCCTCGTCTCCAAGTCACCGTTCTTTGCACCTCTGCAGACCTTTTGGGCCCAAGTCTCTGCCCAGGGGGCAAAGCCAATCCCTCTAGGTGAGCGGTCTTAGGCATCACGGGAATGAATAGTCTTCGGACAGTGGTTAAGCCCTGTTATGAACCAGGTTCTGGCCACCCCCGGGTGGGAGTCAAGCCTTTTTCTCTCCCTTGAGGGGCCGGGAGATACACATCTGTAAATCAGCGTGATAAACACTATGCTGCTGAGTGTGTAAAATACAAAGCGATACCAGAACGCAGAAGGAGCCGAGAAAAGGCGCCACAAAAGAAGGTTCTTGATGGCCGGAGGTGGTGCCACAGGCCTTTAATCCTAACACTCCTAGGGAGGCAGGAGCAGGTGGATCTCTGAGTTCGAGGCCACCCTGGTCTACAGAGTGAGTTCCCGGGCAGCCAGGGCTGTTGCACAGCTGTCTTCAAAAAAGAAAAGAAAAGAAAACGGAAGAAGGCAGCTCTTGACTCCTGATCTGTGGACAAGGAGGACCAGGCACTGGAGAGACCCCGGCGGTGTATCAGGCCTGTAGGTATTCTTGTGTGGCTTAGGGTGTCTGTGGCATTAACCGCCCCAGAAGTGTGCGGGGTTGCCCTAGTTATGTAGAAGGGGTTCCATCTTTTTGTTGTTGTTGTTTTTGTGTTTTGTCTTTTGAGACAGGGTTTCTTTACATAGCCCTGGCTGTCCTAGAACTGTCTTGTAAGCCAGGCTGGCCTTGAACTCACAGAGATCCTCCTGCCTCGGCATCCCAAGTACTGGGGACTAAGGGTGTGCGCCACCACCTCCCGGCTGAGCTCTGGCCTCTCAAGCGTGGCTGACAACGCTGGCAGTTGCTTTATGGGACGGGAACGAGATATGAACCCAGGTCCAGACGCCCAAGGGGCCGAGCACTCCCTGTCGTTTTCCTTGACTGCGTTCTAAGCCATTGCAGCCCACTGTAGCGCGTCCGTGGCCCTCTCCTTCTTCATATTCGAGCGATGGGAATGTACCACATACTGGTACATCTTTGCCGTCTGCAGGTGCCGTTTTTTTAGCACCCAGTATTTCAGAACGGGGTGGGGGTGGAAAGTCTATCCCAGACCTGAAGCTCTCCCCTGCCCAGACCTTTTCCCGCACCTGTGAAATTAATCGAGTTCTGAAGTTTCATATCCATCCCCAAACCCAGTCCCAGGTAGGGTTTGGAGGTTTGGGTATTTGTGTTGGGAGGGGCCCTGAACCCGCCCCCTCCTTTCCACAGCGCCTTCCCAGCTCTCACTGAAACAGCATTATTCATCGCTGTCTTTGGGCTGAAAAAGAAACCTTTCTGAGCACGACCCGGACGTAGGAACCAAGGCTGGAAAAGCGATGCGCTTCCTCCGGTTGGGGGAGAAGCAAGGCATGGGCTTCAGTTTCTCTCTCTCTCCGCTTTGCCCCTCCCAACTGCTTCTAAGCAGAGAATGGCAGTGTTGGGATGAGATCTCTCAAACCTTGGGTTATAATTTTTATTTTTAGAGCCTTGTAATAAAATACATTTTATAATACTAGTCTGATGCTATTTTGCAGAAGACGAATGAGTGGGCCAAGAAGCTGGTGTAAATAAAGGCTTTTTTCCCCTAAGGCACGAGCCAGTAGGTGGTCCTTCTATTTGGATTTTTACGGTACAAGATAGACGGAAGTGGGCGGAGATATGTAAATAAGCACAGCACATAGGGCTTCTAATTTGCCGGATGTGAGCAGAGTATTCTGGGAGGTTTTATTTCTCCAGTTTTGGCGCCGAATGGAAAATAATTTATATTAAGCGACTTTCACATAGATATTACTCTATGATTGTGAGAATACTGAAGCATTGGGTTTGTGCTAAAGAAATGTCACATTCTCACCCTCGCTTTAACCGGAAATGTCTTTTCCTAATTAGGAACGGGCCCCTGCGCCCCTTATCGTCAGGAGGTTAATCCTTACCTGTTCCTCCTCTGGAGGGCAGTAGAAAATGATGATTGGAGCTTGCATGATCTGCTGATTAGCATTTCCGTGTGGCCAGGACCTGACAACATCCTGGTTGCTCCTATCTGATTCTCTGACGATCACACGTTTTTTTAACGAGTTAATTGACAGAACTTTCCAGCCACATTTTAGGTCTAATTCACTTCACCACCGGCCCCAGCTCAGTTAGATTACTTGTATCTGTGCCTGTGTGTGTCAGCCGCTCAGTTAGGTTACTTGTGTAGTTGGTGAATAATCCTGGCAGAGCACCCGTACCCACTCACCGTGCTTCCCGAGGAGATGCTCTCTGATGACACCCCAGACACAGCCTTACCCATGACCTTGAGCTCCCCTTCATCTAGCATTCATTCTGTGACCTAGCCATAGCAAAGAAAGACTTCTAGTACTCCCGTTATTTAATTGTGTAAGTTGTGGTATATGCTACAAAAAAAAAAAAATGATTAGAGTGTCTTAGCGACACTTTAAGTTGTGAGAGCCACCAAAATATTATTTGTCTCAGCTATTGTTGAGAAACTTGAGAATGACTCTGAGAAGTCCACACCCTTTCATGTGTCTTACTGAGCATGGAAAAATTTGCTTTTCAGAAGCTTTACTAACAGGTTGCCAAATATAGCTATTATTTAAAATTAAACAGTGTGAACTTGCGATTAAGTAGGTTATATTTACGCTGGAGGTACAGCTCACTGCTAAGTGCATACTTGTTATGCTTGAGGCCGTGGGTGAAATCCTCAGCCAGGATGGTGATGCATGCCCACAGTACCAGCACTCAGCACGCAGAGGAGGCAGTGCCACAAGTTCAAGGTCAGCCTGGTCTACGCAGTGCATTTCCAGTCAGCCAGGGCTACATAGTGAGACCCTGTCTCAAACAAAACAAGAGCACGTTGCTACCCCTCCTAGGGATGGAGGAGTTAGCCCAGCTCTGGAGGTTCCATGCTGGGTTCCCCCAGCATCAACACCATGATGAGAGTGGTGTTTCTGTAGCTCAGGATGGAGGCTGAGTTCAACCTGAGAAGGTTCCCCAGGCAGCTGCAGGCTTGATAAAGTTCTGTCTTCCGAATGCTCAGTATTATTCTCTGCTGACTGGATTGTCAAGTACAGATCCTTTGAACCCTCAGAAAGTCTGCTCCTTTTTGTAGTCACATCTTTCAAAGGTTTCTCAAAGCACTTTTATGCAGCAGTGGATTTAAGAAAACTAAATGAGAAGTCTGTACAAGGCTTCCTTGTAACACATATGCTAGGAAACGGTCTCCTGCTGGTCAGTCCACCACATCTACCTCTCTGGATTTTGATGGATTTGTTTTACAAGGTTCTAACTAGTTTATATACAGTGGATGTAGTGTTTTTATAAGTGCTTGCTTCCACAGCATGTATACTAACCCGGGAAGGATACAGAGATTAGCATGGCCCCTGTGCAAGGACGACACACACATTCCTGAAGCAGTCCGTCGTTTTGGTGATGTTTTCCTGTAATTTTAAGAGACTACATATGGGGTGGGAGGTGTTAAAAACTTGTACAACTTAAAAATAGCACGATTAAGCTGGTTTCCCCCAAAATTAAAAAAAAAAATTTTAAAGTAATAGAACTCTGGCATGGTGTTGTACATCTTGATCCCCGCTTCTTCTTCCTTTTCTCAAAAAGAAAAACAGAAAAGGCAGAGTCAGAGGTAACATTAGTACAGATTAATCCTAAGAGTGTGAGAATTGTTACATTGTCTCCAGCCCATCAAATAAATGTAGGTGAGCACTATCTCTTTGCTGAGAACTGCTGCTACTTCCTCCTCCTCCTTTGTGTGGGGCTGAGGATTCAACTTAGGATTTCAAAGCATTTCCAGTCCCACAACCAACTGGTACTACTACTACTTCTTAATTACATTTTATTCATTAATTTGATATGCTTGTCAAATGTGTGTGTGTGTGTGTGGAGGTCAGAAGACAACTTACCAGAGTTGCACTCTCCATCCACCAGACGTTAGGCTTGGGAGTCGGAGTTTTTATCCTCTGCCCTTAACTCCACCACCCCCTTTTATTTATTTATTTTTAAGACAAGGTCCCAGTGTCCTACATCATCTGGAGCTTGCTATGTAGCCGAGGATGACCTTGAATGTCTGTCTGATCCTCCTAGCTCAGGAAGGATTGCTCAACCGTGCTCAGTTTTTGTGGCCATGGGGATGAAACAAGGTCATGTGCATCCTAGGCAAGCATTCTCCCAACTGAGGTATAACCTTAGCCCCACCCTGGTCTCCTCTCTAGTCCTTAAATACCAACTAGATGCTTCTGGTTTTTCTATACCTGTGGAGCAGCGGCTCTGAACCCAGATGTTGCCCCACCCCCAAAGCCATTCACCCTCCCTCTGCCTCAGTTCCCTCATCTGTACTCATAAGGGAACATCAGAGGTCTTAGCAGCAAGCATCAGAAACAGATTTTCATTTTGCTGTGATGTTAGTGGCTTCCTAGATCTGAGGATTATTTGTTTATTTATGGTTCTTTTGAAACAGGATCTCTCTGTTATGTGGCCATGGCTGTCCTGGAACTTGCTATGTAGACTGGCCTGGCCTTGAACTCACAGATCTGCCTGCCTCTGCCTCCTGATTGCTAGGATTAAAGATGTGTGCCAGCGTGCTGGGGTGTAGATCTCAGGACCGTTTTAGAGACCCTCTTCACAGTTGGGAAATGAAGTCTGGAGCCTGAGTGCTCAAATTGGCTCTGAGACTTGGGTTCTGAAGGTTTTCTCTCCCTCCTGCTGCTCCAGCCTAGATCTGTAGTTCTCTGACCTGGGAGCCTGTTCAGTCTGCTCTGGGGTGTCTCCTGCAAGGCTAGGGGGTGGGCACCATGCAGCTTGAGGAGCAGCTGTCTGGCTGTTGTTGGACTTGCCTGATACGTCTCAGTAGTGAATACTCAGTAGTGAATACTTTTATGGGGTGTGGAAGAGTGTGCTACAGCCACCTCTGGAAGGGACCAAATTGGTTCCGTCAGTTCACAGACTATCTGGTGGGGCTCTGGTGGGGCTGTAAGGAAGACTGAGCTAATCCTGGTGAGGATACGGTAGCCAGGCAGGAGTGTGTCAGATCTAGGACTTTAGGACCTTTTTCATGAGTTTACTGGATCATGAGGGACATCCGTTTTCACCTGTTCAGCGTCTGTCCCTTTCCTAAAAGGCACCCCGTTTGCCTCTTGGAACTCCCCATTCTTAGTCTTTATGTCCAGTGAGAGGCTGACAGTCACTCCGTCCTAATCCTTCTTTTTGCTTTAGGGGTGACCAGGTGGCCAATAACAGCATCCCGTCTTCCCTGATCCAGTGATGGAGTCTACTGTAAACCTTAACAAGCCGGGGCTCGTGCTGAACATCTGGGAAAGAGAAGATTAGTCTCTGATAAATAAAGCTTACTGTAAAATAAACTCATTCAGACAGTGGGCAGGGGGTGCCCTGGAGGGGTGCACCCCCTGGTTAAAAGCTGGTACTGCTCTTGCTGAGGACCCAGGTTCTGATTTCTAGCACCCACATCCTGCAGCTCACAACAACCTATAACTCCAGCTCCAGGGGGATATGAGGCCCCTCCATGGGCACCTACACTCATGGCCATATATCCACATATATACACATACTTTAAAAAAATGGCCAGGAAGCCAGGCGGATCTCTGTGAGTTCGAGGCCAGCCTGGTCTACAGAGCGAGATCCAGGACAGGCGCAAAGCTACACAGAGAAACCCTGTCTCAGGAAAAAAAAAAAAAAAAGAAAAGAAAAGGCCAGGAATGGTGGTGCATGCCTTTTTAGTGCCAGTACTTGGGAGGCAGAGGCAGGAGGATCACTGTGAGTTAGAAGTCATCCTGATCTACACAGCAAGCTCCAGGATAGCCGGACTGCATAAAGAAACCCTGTCCCAATAAATAAATAAATAAATAAATAAATAAATAAATAAATAAATAAATAAATAAATAAATAAATAATTTTTAAAAAATGATTTTTTAGAGACAAAACAAAAAGACAGGAAGGGCCTGGTGAGGTGGCCCAGTGGGTGAGGACGCCTTCAGCCAACCCTGATGGCCTGAGTTTGGTTACTGCAACCCACACAGAGGAAGGAGCAAATGGAGTCTGACCTCTGACCTCTACACGTGCTGTTGGGTGCGTGCATCCACGCACATAAATACGTGAATAAAATGTAATAAATCTACTAAAACTAATAGAAAACAAAACCAAAATAACTCACGCAGAGTGCAATTTCATGATTAGATGGGCTAATGGAACACACACCAAAATCTATAAAAAGAACTAAGTAAGTAGAACTTACTAGATATTAAGGATGTCATTTTAAAAATAAGTTGGGGCCAGGTGTAGTGTATTCCAACACTGGGCAGGCAGATCTCTGTGAATTCAAGGCCAGCCTGGTCTACAAATTGAGTTCCCGCACAGCCAGGGCTACACAGAGGAAACCTGTGCTGAAAAACAAAACAAAGAAAAAAAACACCAAGTTGGGGAACACACACACACACACACACACACACACACACACACACACACACAC